CTTAATTAAAATTCATTTTTAATCCTAAAAGTGTAAGCTAGAAATAAGGTCTTCCGGGAAATAAGTTTAAAATTTTTATAAATTAAAATCCTGTTATGCAATTATATGAGCGAAAAATAAATTTTGATCAAAAAGATGTAAACAAATTTTTAAAAGTACTTAATTTTAAATGTACGGAAGACATTAACATTCAATTTGTTATTAATATTATTACTTTTAGTAAATTAATATGTTTAGTAATATGAATATTTTTAGTTTTACACTAGCAAACTACTCTCATAATATTTAATAGGTTGACTGCTTTTATATTAATTGGCTGCTAGCTTACTGCATGTGTTTTTCGGTTACAAGTATAAAAGTAATCCTTGAATGGTTTACAATTATAATTTTGTTTTCTTTCAATTTTCATTTTTGCAAAAACTGCAACTTAACTATTATTTACAGATGTCCATTCTAATAAAAAAATAAAAAAATTGAACTGGAAATTCTTTTTTGTTTCATTTCACTAAACTAAATTATTTCAGTTTAAAATTACATGTTTATACTATCAGGATTAAATGACTTCCCGCGGTTGCCCATTTTTTTTATTGATACGACTGATCTTGAATATGATGGTATCAGTGACTAGCTCTGGAATACAATCAGTTGCTCGAATTCGATTTGATCCTCCTTATATTCATGATCTCATGGCTGGTACCAATAAAACGGTTAAAGTAACCGTTGATTTGGATACGAATCGTCAGGAATTTGCAAAATTACCACCCAAAAAATCATTTGCAGTTTTTCTAAAGTTTGGAGTTTTTTTTTTTGAATACTTTTTTTATATTTTGTTCATTTTTTTTAATTAAATTTTAATCTCGAATAATAACTTCGTATTTTCATATGACAAATTGGAGATAGCTATACATTTAATGCAGAATAGGTTTTTGGATTCAAAGTTATCTCTATTTGATTATCTATCAGCGATGTTCACTGTATTTATAGATCAATTGATGAAGATATTGCTACAGCAGCAAAAGAGCGAAAACAATTCAAATTAGGAGAATATTCATCGAAGAGAAACAACTCAGAAACATATGAAGTTCTTATAAAATTGTTTTTTCAGAGTTTTTTCTCTGCAAATTCATTGTTTCTTTTTTTTTTAAGACATGCAAATTTGTTGTAATTTTGCAGGTAAATATCACACTTACTGGACATTTCTTGGGTAAAACAGCTGTAAAAGTACGTCTATTAAGTATGGATGAAACTATGGATGATGATCGATTTTTATATGAGATAAGCGAAGTAAGCATAGTATGATTTATATCAAGTTCCTTTGTCTTAATTTTTAGAACATTCAGTCGGGTACGAAATTCTTTATTGCAGAGTGGAAATGATTTTGGCCAGCAGGATAACACGCTTGATGTTTGGGTTATTCAAGACAATAAACGGCTTGAAAATCGATTATTTTTATCAGCATTGGTCATTTTAATTATTATCGCTAATATTTTGATGGGATGCGAAGTATATATTTTTGTCTTACAGTATTTTTCCTAAATTTATATATAAAAATCTCCTTTCTAAATACAACTGAAGAACTTTCGGTATAGAACATAAGTCAAAAGGATGACTGATTAAAATTTGGAGTAAAAATTATGATTTTTTGCTTTTCTTATAGTAGCAAACGAAAGTGTGATCTAAGTTATTAGTCTAATGCAAACTAGCTTTTTTTTTTTCGTTTTTTATGAGAAATTATTGCTGTCACTTATTTACAAATTATTATTTTAGCTTGATGGGCGTGTTATGCTGGAAGTAATTAAAGAACCTGTTGCACCGATGATCGGTTTCTGCACTCAGTTTATTGCGATGCCTTTAGTAAGTTATTTTCGCACCAATCAAACTAATCTGATTTATTGATATCTAATGATTTTGAAAAATAAGTTTTATATCAGAGGCTCTAAAGTGTAATATCTATATTCTAAAGAAAATATTAAGTCATTTTTCTTTGGTGAATGGTTTTCTTGAGTAATATTGATATGGTGGTGTTACTTTTGTGTCGAACAAAGTGCTCATTTTTGGGGTTATTAAACTATATGGGTCTTCAATATCGAAACATTACTACGTCTTCAATTATGTTATCTTTAACTTATTGAAGTTAAACTTCATGTTAAACCTCTGCTATTTTAGGTTAATATGAAAAAAAAATCTTTTTAAAGTCATTTTCCATTTAGCTTGCTTGGGGTATTGCAAATATTATTTTTACCGCTAATGGTTTGCATTCTTTTGCACTTGGCTTATTTGTTACTGGTTGTGTACCTGGTGGTGGTGCCAGCAACTATTGGACTGTTCTGTTAGATGGTAATTTGCCAGTGTCTCTAACAATGACATTTTGTAGCACCATAGCAGCTTTAGGTAAATTTTTCCTTTATTCCTAAACTAAAGGTTCAGGACAAAAAAAAAGCTTATTTTCAATATTTATTGTAGAACTAGTTTTTTCAATTTCAAATTTCATTCTCTTCTTTAAAAATATATTTCTTACTTCATTTATCGTACTACACTATTATTTCAGCCATTATTATACATTTTCAAGAATAACATAAATCTTTTTCCGATGCATAACATAAGATTTTGTTCATGAAGATAATTTATCACAGTATTACAGTAATGATACCATTTTGGATGTGGCTTTTGGGTTTTCATTTTCTCGACAGTTTTCATCCTGAAGTAATTATCAAGATTCCATACATCAAAATTCTCTCGTCTTTGGTTATAATGATAGTTCCATTGATTTTTGGTGTTGCAATTTCACATTTCAAGCCAACATTACGACTTCAGGCTCGAAAGGTTTGCTTTTAAACTGAAGTGATCAAATTTTTGTCAACTTTTTTTTTTTGTTTGAAACATAGTTACTCTTCAAACAATTAATACATTCATTTATAGATAATGCGGCCATTTATCATATTCGTCCTGATTTTTTTAATTGGTTTCGGAGCACTGGCCAATATATATATGATTCGTTTGTTGACATGGACAGCTGTTATTGGGTATTATTTTGCTCTTTATTAATTCAGTTCCTCATTATTTTAATTTTCTCACCTTGCAATTTTAAATTACAGAAGTTTATTGCTTCCTTGGTGTGGCTTTGCAATTGGCTGCTTGACAGCAGTTATTCTTCGGCAATCACCACCAAATGTCACTTCAATAGCAATCGAAACTGGTATTCAAAATACAGGCATAGCTATCATGTTGATAAAAGTAGGTTGTTAAATCCTTTCACTACAAATTTGATTGGTAACTGCATGCATGCAATTGAGAATTAATTTCATTCGTCCGTAACAAAAAACAAAAACAAAGGGAGAAAATGCATTTTATTTTATCCAGAAAATGTCATAATTTGGATTAATAATTCCACTTATACTTTATAAAATTGCCTTATTTTCCTTATTATTTCTTTTTTTCACTTGAAAGCATCTACTGAATAATTTCAGTTTTCGTTTCCTGATCCCGATGCTGACATTAGTGCATTGATTCCTGTTATTTGTGCGAGTATGACACCAGTACCGCTTCTGTTCATTGTAGCAATACACTGGTTATGCAAAAAGCTTGAAATGAGAAGAAATGCAAAAAGTAGTGATATCGAAGAGATAGCAGTGAAAATTAATCCAGGAATTGATAATTCTAATGGAACTCCTATTATTAAATATAAATCGAATCCAAATGATGATAGCCCATTAATGAATATTAATGAAAAACGAAATCTCTCGCGATAGATCTCGCTTTCATAATGTTTATTCATAATTGTAACATTTCACTAGGCCATAGACTCAACCTTTTGCATAAATTGTCGCAGTTTTTAACACCATTTTCTACAAGCAATATCATTTCTGGAATTTCCTCACTTAGGCATAAGGAAGTGTGCATTAATTTTAAGACAGTTATGTGTAATTTTATTTCATATATAATTTGTTTCAAATGCACTTTCCTTTATCGCGACTTTTTGCAGCTCTCATAATTGATATAAGCTATAAAGAAAAACATTAATGCATGCTTTTCTGGGTATATATTTCATATGAAATTCTCTATAGATATTATATTGTTACAGGATATCTCATCTTCCAAAAACACAATCTTAATTTATTTTATGATCTGATATTGATTGTAATCTTTTTTAGTTTTATTTTTTCTTTATTTATTTCTTCTTTACAATGTTCTTTCATATCAAAATAACGTGTCATTTTGAAAAAATCTATTGGAAAGAGCAGTATTTCAGAAGAATGATATCGATGTAATGCTGTTATAGGTTTCTTTTTCCTCTTTTTTTTTGTTCTATGTTTATTTGTGCTTGTTATTTTTAAGTACTGAATAGTTGTAGTAGTAGTAGTCAGTTTAAAAGTTCATTCCATTTATTCGTATCAAGAAAAGACGAAATTAACTTTCCATTAATGCAAAATTTTCAAATTTGACAGTTGATGAGGTTTCACTGTTTGGGGAGAGAAAAAAATTATTAGTTCCATGTTTATTAAATTTTCATTTCATTAATTGAATATGGATTTTTTCTTTTAATTCGATTTTTTGTTGAGATAATGTATTATTGTACTGAACTTAGAATATTATGGTTGTGATAATATGGCTTTGTGATAGACTCTGATATGGGAAGTTGTTTTTGTTTCATAAATGAATTAGTCTTTTGCTCACAGTACTTTGCTAATAAATATTAAATCCTAAACGTAATAAACTAAATGCTTGTTGGATCCTATCGCAACAACGAACATGAGTTGGTCGCAGATAAAATATTAAGATAATAATGGGAAGTGGAAGTCAAACAATTCCTAAATATACTATTCAACCCTGAGTAGTATTATCACCAAGCTGACATCGTTGGGATACTAATTTCATTTTAACTTATCAATATGATGCATCACTTTTAAATGTGCGGTTTAGAGGTACAGACCTTTTGAGAGTAATCTGCATGGGAATTGGAGTGGTGTGTGTTCCGTGAGGAGTTGGTGGGATTTTGGCTGATGCGTGTGTTACATGAGAATTGGGTTAGTACGTGATGAGTTGGATGGAAGTGTGACTAGCACGTGTTACGTGAGAAGTGGACTAGTAAGTGGTGTGTTAAATCGCATCATTGTGTAATGTGAAAATCAGAGTAGTGTCATTTGTACTTAAATATCCGTTTATTTATAACAGTTTGAAGTATTCGTATTAGTAAGAGATTTTTGAGAGTTTTTCTATTTATTGTTATATATAATATAAGATAAATATGTTTGATTCTTATATGTGACGCATATTTATGCTAAGCATGCAATTAAATTGCTTGTGGTAATTTAAACATAAGTTTGTATGTGCTATTTTAGATGACCATCGAAAGTAATGCAGCGTTATCGACGAAACTAATCAGTATTGATGAAGCAAGTTTTAATTGCATTTATTGAAGTTTTTATGAATTTGTTTGTTTTCTAGTTTCAATAAGAAGCAGAAGTGTTGTAATATATTCATACATAATTGTTGAGCACTTTCAAATTTTGCAGGTTAAATCAACAGCTCGAAAACAAAGAGTTGCTGCGCACAGTCATGTGAAAGGTTTGGGACTAGATCCTGAAACGCATACACCCAGTGATAATGTAAATTTCAAAGAGATCCTTTCGTTGTTTTGAATAGTTCGGTTTAATCTCTGTTGTAAAAAAATAAGTTTACTTAGGACAGAGTTGTGTAAATATTCAGTGCAGTGTATTTTCTACAAGCATACGTCAATCATATGCCTTTATGTCTTTAAAATATGATTCAAGATAACAGTTGTTAAGTCTTGCTTCGGTTTTTTGTTGGGTTTCTCATTATTTATAAGCTACCATTCAAGCTATCAATGTGTATCCATATCTTACTGTGGGACATACCTGTATTAGTATAGATAATTGTTACTCCTGTATCGCACTGAATCTAAGTTTGCCATTTTCGTAGGAGGATTTTCATTTTCATAGGAGGATAGACGTAGAACTCCATTTAGGCAAGTGGTTTCATTGGGCAGTTAGAAGCACGAGAAGCAGCCGGAGTGATTGTGGATTTGATCCGTTCGAAGCGCATGGCAGGACGTGCGATTCTTTTTGCTGGACCACCGGGAACTGGGAAGGTATATTTTGTTTCCGTCGTTGTTTGTTATTGACCGTTAGGTAGTTCTTTAACATACTTATAAAGAAGAATATTGAAATGAATTTTGCTTAACTATATTTCTATTCGATGTTGCAGTGTCTCATTGCATCGTTTTACAGACAGCTATAGCGTTAGCAGTGGCACAGGAATTGGGTGATAAAATGCCATTTTGTCCAATGGTCGGTTCTGAAGTTTATTCATCGGAGGTGAAAAAAACTGAAGTCCTGATGGAGAATTTCCGAAGATCAATCGGTGTTTATCATTTTCTGCCCTGTTGCTGAATGGTTTATAACACAGATAACATAAAAAAATTGGTTGATTTGTTACTGTGAACTACTAGAAAAATTGATTGATTTGTTACTGTGAATTACTATAAATTATATATATTTGCATTATACTTAATTATAATTATTATAATGGAATTTGTATTTGGAAGTAGTATGTCATATTTGATCATATTTATTTGCAGGTTTACGTGTTAGGGAGAAGAAAGAAGTATATGAGGGTGAAGTTATAGAATTAACACCAGTAGAAAGCGAGAATGAAACGGGTGGCTATGGGAAAGTTAGTTCTATTATTAGAAGTTATACGGAATAAAAGAACAGTGCAAAGCATTTAGCCTTTTTGTAGTAATGGACAATTCTACTGTTTTTGATTCGAATCTTCACACTCAAGCAATTGATGACGAAGTATTGAATGCTTGCAGAGTCATTGTAATGGTAAATGAAATTTTAGTTTTATTTTTTTTCATTTTTCTTTCCAAATTTTTTTTATAGAGAATATCGCACGTATTGATTGGCTTAAAAACCGTTAAAGGGAGCAAACAGTTGAAACTTGATCCATCAATTTATGATACGCTTTTGAAGCAAAAAGTTGAAGTTGGAGATGTCATCTATATCGAGGCGAACAGTGGTGCTGTAAAGGTTTCATTTTGTTTATAGTTGCATACTTTTTGCCATATTCATTTGCATTTTCTTCTTTTTCGTTCTTTAAGAAGCTGAAACAAGAATTAACTAAAAACTATTCTGTCATTATTTAGAGACTTGGTCGTTGTGATGTATATGCTACGGAATTTGATTTAGAAGCTGATGAATTTGTGCCACTACCAAAAGGTGATGTTCGGAAGTCGAAGGAAGTCGTCCAAGTACCGAAGTTTTATTCATCATAGATTGTGTTTTTGAAAATTTGCAGTTCGTTTCTGATAAATCATTTGATCCTTTCTATTTATGCATATGTTTTTTTTTTTTTTTTTTTTTTTCTATTTATGCAGTAAAAATTGTAGGATGTTACGTTGCATGATCTGGACATTGCAAATGCTCGTCCACATGGTACTGCTGGTAATGTAACATCACTTGTCGGACAACTGTTAAAGCCGAAAAAGACTGAAATTACAGAAAGGTTACGGCAAGAAGTTAACAATGTCGTGAATGATTATATCGAACAAGTAAGTCCTAACAAGTAAGGTGTTCTGAAGGTAGTTGAGTTATTTAATTTGTGTGACAAATATATTTGGTTATTTCAGGGTATTGCTGAGTTAATGCCAGGTGTGTTATTCATTGATGAGGTGCATATGCTCGATATCGAATGCTTTACATACCTTCATCGAGCGCTTGAAAGTACTATTAGTCCGATTGTAATTTTTGCCACTAATCGCGGTCAGTGTAAAGTTCGGTAAGTTTAAATGTGAAGTTTCTTCTTGTGATTTAATCTTGCCATATCTGGATGTGACTGTATTTTTGATATGATCAAAAATATTAGTTGGCTAACACCATTCACAATTTAAATAACTGTAAATAGTGAAAAGGACTTACTTCATAAGGATTCTTTTTTCTAGAGGTACAGAAATGGTATCACCGCACGGTATCCCATTGGATTTATTAGATCGCATATTAATAATTGTTACAAAACCATACAAAATTGATGAAATATTGGCTATTGTAAAGATACGAGCCGAAGCAGAAGGTGTAAAATTGGATGAGGATGCCTTAACATATTTAAGTAATCTAGGCGCTGAAACATCCTTGAGATATGTCGTGCAATTACTTACACCTGCAAAATTACTTGCTCAAGTAAATAGTCGCGACAGTGTTACGGTGCGTTTCCCTTTCTATTTTCGGTAGTTGAACATGTGCAGTTTTTTTAATGTGTTAAATCGTGCATCCTATTCATAAGAAAAGTGGCGAAATTCTTTTTATATGGATTTTTGTTTTGTACCTTGTTATGGTATCGTAGATGACTGAAATTTTTTAATCGGATTAACAACTCAGCTTTTATTTGTTTGCGATATACACTGAAATAACAGCTTTAGGAAGAAGACGTGAAGCAATGTGCCGAATTATTCATCGATGCCAAAGCATCGGCACAGTTAGCACTTTCAAGTATCAGTGGAGATAATACTCACACATCACCTATTGCAAAGTTGGATTCCGTTGCGACTGTTCATCCATTGAACTGTCAAACAACCAGTGATGGTGACCCTCCAATGGAAACAGATGGAACATAAATAAATAAGTGAATAAAGTTTTGTGTCCCAAAAACAGTTTTTGAATTATGATACAATCTTCTGTTGTTTATTCTTCAAGTTTGTCTCGTATGTTCGTTTTGACCCTTTTGATCTTCTGACAACTTTTGGTTAAAATTTTTTTGATCATATTTTACTCATTTTCTTCATATTTTTTTGATCAAATCAATTTTGTCAGGAGATAATGACTTTTTATCTTTATAATGACCATGATGAGAAAGATGGGATTAAGTGATGATGAAGTATTTTCACTATATCTCAGTTGTGTTAGGGACAACAGTCCATTATGAGTTTGGTGATTTGGTAAATCCGCGAATGTTTGATACATTTTTTTTTTTCAGTCGTTTATAAAGTTACATTTGTTGATCTCCAATCTTTCTGTGTCTTGTTCGCTACTGTTAATGAAATAAAGCTCAAGTCGCATTTATCGAGTTATTTCACGTTTTATGCGTTGTGTTTTGAACACCATCTTGGTTGTGATATTTATGCATGATCATATTTTTTTCTTTTTCGAAACAATACTCATGGAAAATATTTTCATATTTCCAAATCCTCAGTTTACCTGGAATCATTGTTACGCTTGGGGGTTTTCATTTTTTTTCATATTGCACTGCTTCCTAATTCTTTTTCTTTTAACGCTTAGCTTTTATTTGCCTCATTAAGTTTGTAGTCATTTATTGTTATTTTTCTCTGCGGAAACGTGAATGGTTTAAGAGTTAAGGAGAGCTTAGTTTTATTAATTGATGTTTAAAGAGGAAAATAAGGTGAAGAGATGGCAGTTAGTAGAATTGGTGGAGATGAATGGGATCAGATTCCGGATGACGAATTGGAAGAAACGATTGGTGAAAGGCTTTGGGGTCTTCGTGAAATGTTTCCAGATGTATTCAGATGTAAATTAGAATCATCAGTGGATTGGTCAGTATGGGCTGCGAAGCATACGGTACTTGTTTTTTTTTTTGTATTCGGATAATCTTTGATGTGGCATATTCGCTATGTATATGCTATTTGGTGTATATACGCAGGAATATTTTTGAAATTTGTTTGTAGGAAATATTTGTTACAGAATAAAAATATTAGTAGTATATTGAATTTAGCTGTGAGATAATGTGTCATTTTTAAAGCGGAATGTGTAGTACAACTTTCAGCTTTCCACTTGTACTTTTTCTTATTTCAGTTTTCGTTTGTAAGATCTGCGCTTTGGATTGTATCATCATCGATGATGATTTTAGTCTTGCCATATGTAATTGAAAAAGAAAGGTCTGAGTACGAGAAAAGTCAGGTTCGTCCCTTTGAAATGAAACACCAAATGTTTCTGTTATCATTAAGTTTATTGTAGTACAAATATTGTTCTTTTGATGAATTAATCAATTTTCTTTCCTTTTGTTATGGTAAATGTTCTAATTTAGTTTAATTTTTTGTCAGTGAGCGAGGTTAGAGGCAGAGAGATTTGACATTTTTTTTTCCAAGGCGGTAAATTTAAGGAGTAGTTTGTTGGTTTGCTTATGCATTTATATTTCCTCACTTTAATATCAATATAAAATTAAATAACTACAGTTAATTTTTTACTTCTGTTTGCAATTTAATGATATCAGAAAGTTCTAATCCTTATTTCGTTTCAGGTAGCTCAGCAGAGGCAAATGTTGCTTGGCCCAAGTGCTGCCGTAAGTGCAGCAAAGCATTAGTTTTTTTTTTTATAGTTATTATAAGTTTTCAAAGATTTATTTTTAGCTTATCCTTTGTTTTTGTCCTGGAAATTTATCACTTTTCTTAATTTCGTCATTGAAATTTGGTTTTGCAAATTCCGGGAAAAATTCTTGTTTGCAATTCTTTTCTTCATTTTTTTTAAAGTGTGATGCAACTTATCTTTCCTATTGTTGCATTCCCAGTATCACAACCATTAAAACTAAAAAGCGTAATTGTTTTGATACAAGAGTAAACCTTAAATTTTCATATACTAGTGATGTTTTGATGATTGCTACATTACTTTGTTTGAATTAAAATATTATGTCGTCAATTTCTGAATTTTTAATACAGAAAAATGAGGTTGAATTCAATTAATCACTATTACTCGAATATAATTTTGTGCATTATTTTGTTAAAATAAAATTTTCAAGTGCTAATTCATGTTTTTATTTTTTGTAGCAGTGATAGGATGATGCCAGCAATACATTATCAAATCACACCGGAACTATTCCATTTTTTGAATCCCCGAATAAATGTTCCAATTTAGTTACGTGGTACGCAATATATAGATAGATAAAAGTGCCATACAATTAGTACGATACTCGCAAAGATGAATGTGACAAGTATTTAAATGATTCAACATTTCAGTGCATGATTTTGTTAAGGCGTAGTTATCGTGATGCTCGAAATAATGCTGTGATTAATTTTTTCTTTCGAAAATTTGTTGATGGTAATGTACAACAAGTGATGGAAGTTAGTGATAAATTAAATAAGGTAAAATCACTGTTATTTAACTGTAAATGTACTAATTTTTGCTTTCGATGTAGCATGTGAAGTTTAGACATATGGATATTGACGAATTTTAATGTAACTGATACTTCAGTATTTCTAACAATGACTTTTAATGTGTCAGTTTTGCTTTCGTATCACTTGTCATAGTCAGGAATTATGCTGAAAGCTCATTTCTAAGTGGTTTTACTGTTGATATAGGATAAATTGACATTGATTAGTTGGCTGAAAAGAACGATTAGCACACTGCTTCTGAATTAAGGAATTAAACATTAGGATAATGTTCTTTTATACCTTTTATAGGTTGAAGAGCAGGATATTTCTTCTGAAGATTATATGGCAGATATGACTACAAAAGAAAATCTTATATCAAAAGAAATAAACAACTTTGATAGAACTGTAGGTTATTATATTATGTAGGTTATATTGGATTATCTTCAAAATGTAAAATCGAGTGAAACACTGGAACTCTTTTCAATGAAAGTAATAAGGTGGTAGGAGAGTGCTATTTTCTTGCATATATTTCTTTTAGTTGGATATTGTTCAAAATGCTATGATTCTATGTTTTTATTGGATTGAATTTTATAAAATATATTTACAGCTGTCGCTGCAAAATTCTTTCGCAACACAGCGAAAAAAAAAAGTAAAGGCTAGTCGATTTCGGCCTATTGTATATTCGGAGGGAGAACTGGATAAGTCAGACTTTATGCAGCCACCATCAAGGTTTTTTCTCTTATTTTTGTCAAATTTGATCAGAAAGTACATCAGAACTGAATTGATATACTGTTTGGCTCTTATTATCTTCTCCTTTACTGTAATAACAACGAGTTTAGCAATTTATCTAACGTATCTTCTGCTACAGTGATCTAAATTTGATTGATATCGTGCAAAATTAATGGATATAATTGAGCTAATAATTCCTTATTTATGTTATTTTCCTGGATTTTTACTCTTTTTTTTTTTTTTTTTTAAATAGACTTTTAACTACGATTTCTTTAGAGATAATCCACTTCCGTTCGATCCAACTGCAGATCCATCATTGTTACCTCCGACACACTCATGGTGTATTGCTCATTATGTGAATCATTTACCCGTATTGCAGACACTTGTCGAATTAGGCATGGATTTGTTTGAGGTTTTTTTTTTTTTTTGTTTGAATTAGGCAGATTTTATTTGAGGTTAACTGATCAAGTTTACGAAGTGCTTTCATTTTTTCGCATAAACTTTAAAAGTTTGTAAGATTGCAGAATTTGTAGGTATATTGTGTCAATTTTATAATCAACTGCATTTTAGGTAGATTCAGTGACACATATCGGCCGTAAACTGGTGAAATTAGATTGGGAAAATGTTAGACCAAAGCTTGTATGGCTGATTCATCAAGTTGGTATGCCTATAAGCGATGTTGGCTTATATTTAACACGAAATCCGTATTTCTTATTGCAAGATTTAGAAAACATGAAAGTTAGAGTTTGTTTTTATTTTATATATATATGTATATATTTTTACAGAAAAGTTTAAAACTTTCTTCATTTCATGTATATTATAACAGCCGAAATAAACGTATCATATTTTATATAATTTTAGGTGCGTTTAAATTACCTTTATACAAAGCGGCTAACTAAAGCGAAAGTCCTTAAAATTGTAAGAAACAATAGGTTTGTTTCTTTTGCTTAAAGTTTTCGAAACATGATTTTTTGTAATTTATTACGTCAATAAATGAATATTAGTTATTGTGTTTTGAAGTCCTTGTTGACTCATAGACAATATTAAAACCTCATCATCCTACTTTCTAAAAGTCGTTTTGAAATTCTTTATTTGTGTATTTTATGCTAGATTTTGGCTGAATACCGATGTTGAAACAACAGATGCTCGCTTGGGATGGATTCAAAAAACGTTTGATCTGACGGGGGATGAAATGCGTCAACTAATAATCACAGAATCAAGAATTATTATGTACGGTGTTGGACCGCTTGAAGTATGCACATGGGTGATGTTTTTGTTGTAGGTTTCAATAAGTCTACGATTTAGAAATCTTATTCGGTTTAAAGTTAAAACGAAGCAAACAAGGATTCGGTTTAAATTTAAAACGAAGGAAACAAGGTTCTTTTCTTTAAATGAAGTTAATGTGTCTTATTTTTACAGAGACTTGTTACTATGTTAAATGAAGAAATGGAGTTTACAAAAGAACAAGTTAAGGCAATTTTATTGAAAGATCCGAGAGTATTCATGATGGGTAAGTGGGACTTTATTTCACGATTTAATTAAACAGATTTGTTTATAACATTTATAATGTTTCATTGGTATCACATTGCATAACACTAAATATCCAGCGAAAGTATGATTCATTCGGCTATATATTATGGTGATATCGTTGAATACGAAAGTATTGATGTTCTCACTGTAATGGAAAATCTTTGAAAAGACCAAGTTGAATATCAAATAAATCAATTCTAATTAATGTTTCAGAGCCAAATGCTTTACAAACAACATATAATTACCTTCGATTCACTGTGCATATATCAAATATGCAAATTTGTGAATGGCCATTATGCTTAAGATTTACCATTGGAGCAATTCGTAGGCGACATGAATTTTTGGTGCTACTTCATAAAGCTGATTATAACGAAGGTTCACCAAATTATGTACATCTTCGCTCTTTGTTACAACCATCTGATCAAAAATTTGCTGTTAACGTGGCACATACATATTTGAATGTATATAATGCTTTTTTAAAAAGTTACTGATGATAGGTTTTTATTGTTTGATTGTTTAACTTTCAAGTTCTAAATTTCTCATTTTTCATATTATAGCATATGAATGTATAAAGTTCTACTACTTGAATTGAGACAAAAAAAAAGGAAAAAAAAACAAAGATGGAGGCATGGTGAGTTTTTTGATTGGTAACTATCTATAAATATGGAAATTGGGTTTTAAAATGGAGAATTTACGGAAACGAACATAACATTCAGTTATTCAAGATAGCGTAAGAGTTACTTTTTGCTGTTAGATTTATACTTAAATTTCATCCATTTAATTTGAGATTTATCACACAGTTCGAACGAAATTTATTCATTACTTCAGTGTTTTATGGGAAATATTTTTGTTTTGCTGGTTTCAGGTTAATTGAATTTCAACAGAACTTACTGAGTTTTTAGAATTATGAACTAAAAGTAAAATAGGAAAGAAAAAAGGTGAATGTTTCAGTAAGATATATCCGAATAATAAGGAAGCGATATTTGGTTAAATGTAATTACATGAGATTACAATTTTAGTATTGCATATAATTCCTTTTTCAAGTCGTTTAATGATTGTATAAATAAATATCCATGCCCTTTTTTTACGTTTTAAAAGTCATGGTAGAAGATATACTTGCAATGGCTAGCACGTGGTACGTTTTATCCACTGATGCGTGTTATTTTGTTTGCGTTGCATCCGTTAATGCGTGATACTTTGCTTACGTCTCATCGCAACATCATTTCCGGAAAAAAGCAACCATTCATTTCATTTCATTAATCAATCTGAATAGTGAATTTATAAATTATTCACTCTATCCACATTCTTTTGTTGTTTTTTCTCACTCATTTTAAAAGTTAATATTTACAAAAATAGATTAATTATTCTTATTCATTGATATGCAAGTGAAAAAAAGAAAGGAGTTTTGAATTTATTAAAATTCTCCTTTTCTAATTGATCATTAAAAGTCATGGGATATATATATATATATATATATATATATATATATAAGAGTTGATTTAAGATTAGCCAATGACTGCTAGATACATTGGATATTGATTGATTTGAGTTTGGTGGTAATTAATTTCGTGATAATATGGTTTTATAGTTGATAAACTTGATTTGTTTTGACATCATTTTATGTTAGGATGTGATCAATAACAGACAGCGCTGTCATTCAACCGAATATATTTTTTTTATTCATTGACGGCAAACAGTGTTCAGATAATTCCTTTTTTTTATATCCTTTTGTTTTTATTTTCCATCCTTTCAATCACTTAAAAGTTCACATCGTTCTTTATTTGTATATCAAATGATGACAATGTATTTAAGAATTATTTAATAATATTATTCGTTAATATATCAATTTTATAATATCAAATAGTTTGAAATTCGAAAAGAATTAATGATATTTACAGTCGAATTTAGTTAGTTTTTTACGGAATTATTTGTGATAATTTTGATAATGATATGTGAATAATTTTTTATTTTTTAACAATTTTAATAATGACATATGAGTAGGATTTTCAGATGTATTTGGAGAAGAAAATGAATTATTAGTATTTCAAAAATGCGATATAATTTAATTGAACCAGGTGATAATGAAGATATTACCAATGAACGGCGAGGCTCATCATTTTCGGTTGGCAAAATGGCTGCATTTATACATGGTGGTGAAGAAAAGCTTCGTAGAAGACATGAAATATTGAAATTTGTAGAATCTCAAAAAGATTTTCAAGATCCGATACCGCCTGAATTCATGAGTCGAAAGGAACGAGTTGAGAATAATGCACGGAAGGTTTGTTTTCTAATTAATTTTCCTTACATTCTACTCTTCTGTTACTTCCCCTAAGAAGAACTATTTAAGATTTGATAACGGGTCCTTCAATTAATTTGTTAATTCATTTGCAAGATAAGTATTAAGACGTAAATATATAAACCATTTCATGTTTTGTTGAAAAAATTTGTTTGGTTTCAAGAAAAAAAATTTTTTTTTTGAGTTTGAAAAAAATGAAAAAAGTTTGTTTTTAAATAAAGAATGAAATAATAAATAAATAATAATGAACTAATTTAAAAAAAATAAAAGAATGAAATAATAATGAACTAATTACACGCTGCTTAAGATCGTAGCAATGACCGATAAAATAGCATTTATTGATCAATCGGATATGTTCGAAGAAGGATTACTTTTTCAAAGGTATTGTTTTTTTCCTCTCTCTCCTTCTGTTTTGATAGTAATTATGTGATTATTTGAATCTTAAAAATCAATTGATTATTTTGAAATTGAATTAGTTGAATAATTATAGTTTGATAATGGGACGTGATTTCCATGCAATGTCGCTACATTATGCTATGTTCATACCAACTATTCAAGGGCAAGCAGATGATGATCAATTGGACTATTGGCTTCCATTAGCTGTTACTCGTGGCATCATTGGAACTTATGCACAAACTGAGCTTGGACATGGTTTATAATTTTATTTTACATATATATTTTTTTAATCTTATCTAAAATTAATTTAGGACAGAAAGTTTTGTTTTTTTTTTTTAGCATAGTAATGAATTTTGTTTTGAATAAATCAATAACTTTGTAAAGTGAGTTTTTTTTTTTTTTTTAATAGAAATTTCGTGCTTTACTATAGTTGTGCAAATTTATTTGTTGTCTTCAAGGTACTAATATTTCAAAGTTAGAAACAACAGCAACATATGATGAGAAAACAGAGGAATTTGTGCTACATACACCATCAGTTTCGGCAACGAAATGGTGGTCAGGTGGCCTTGGAAAATCATCAAATTATGCAATAATTCCTGCACAACTTATCATTAATGGAAATAATAAGGGCTTACACATGTTCATTGTTCAGCTTAGGGATCTCGACACTCATATGCCCTTGCCTGGTGATTTAATTTGTATTTCGAACAGTAGAGAACAAATTGTTTTTATGTAGTAATTTTAAAATCTGTTAAGACTAAATGTAAAAAGTTTTTGCAATTCAACGCTGATTGCTAACTTACTGATTCTAATTTAACCAATTAAAGTCATATTTACAGCTTATTTTTCACTCACATAATTTTTACCAATTGCTTAAATTAGGCATCACAATTGGAGATATTGGTCCTAAAATGGGTATTCCTGGCAATGACAATGGTTTTCTTATATTTAACAACTATCGCATTCCCCGTAAAAATATGTTCATGCGTTATTCACAAGTAAATTTTTTTCTTTTGATTTATTAATGTAATTGTGTATTATATATCAAAAAATAATTATATGTTATAATTATATATCAAAAAAATTTACTTTGTAAAGCTATGAAATGGATATCGTTTAATGATTTCATAATGTTTTTGAAACTTTTTTTTTTTTTGTACACTTGTTAGGTTTTATCAAATGGTGAATATATTGCACCGAAACATTCCAAATTACGTTATGGTACGATGGTATTTGTCCGATCAATTATGGTACGAGATCAAGCTATGCAATTGGCTGCAGCAGTTACAATTGCTATACGTTATTCTTCTATTAGAAGACAGGGAGAATGGAAACCTGGGTAAGTATTTTGTTGGAAAAGTATAAACATACCTGGATAAGTATAAATATAATTTGATTTTTCATTTTATGTGCAAAAAATTTATTTACTTACAATATGAAAAAAATGTTTTATTGATAAATATTTTGTTTAGTTTAGGTAATGGATACGATGAAATTTATGACTTCAGATTTTCCATAATGATTCAGCAAGCATTCATAGTGATTAATTTTTAAAGTGTTAAAAGTTTTCAGTTTGAAAGAAGTTCAGATACTTGATTATCGGACGCAGCAGTATCGAATTCTACCTTGCCTTGCTCAGTCATTTGTATTTTTATTTGCCGCTACAGAAGTGAAGAATTTATATATGAAGGTATCTTTTTAATTTTCCATCAGCAATATATTTCAGATCTTTACATCCTCGAAGATTGCTGATTCCTAAATATTCTTTTCTGAATTAGTTTTCCTTTTCTTGTTTTTTTTTTTTATATTTTTTTTTTTATTTTTTTGATTTTAGATTACAATTTGAGCTCAAAAATTTAAGGTCAACAAACAACTTTCGCATGGTATTACTGAATTGCTGCAAGAATTACACATTCTTTCTTCAGGTTTCAAAGCTGTTGTCACATGGGAAGTTGCAAAGGTCTGTAATATTTCCCTTTAGTCAATGTAACTATGTATTTCTTTGTAAGATTTTAAAGTGTCCAATAAATAAATCTAAGTTTCAATTTTTGGAATAAAGATGTACAGATGATGATGCTATTTTCGTAAAATTTAACCAAAAAACTGTATGTGGTCATTCTATGTAGGGTATCGAACAGTGTCGATTAGCATGTGGTGGACATGGCTATTCACATGCATCCGGTTTTCCGGAAATTTATTCTTTCGCTGTTGCTGGTTGTACATACGAAGGGGAAAATATCGTTATGCTACTTCAAGTTGCACGGTATGTCTCTTTATATTTCAACCTGTTTTTTCTACATTTATAAAAAAAAGACTGAAAATTTTTAGGTCAGAATAATAATTTATCAATATTGCAGCTTTTTAATGAAAACAGTCAAAGAAATACATTCTAATAGTGCTCATCTAGCAACAATTGCCAAATATTTGCTTGATGCTAGAAGATATAAATCTAGTTTTCAAATGTGGCAAACAGTTGAATATGAGGATTTGGTTGGTGATTTCGAACAAGCTGCTAGAAACCAGGTAACTATGTAGTCGCATAGTGTGATTTCACTATTTAGTTAGTTTCCGAGGATATTGATGCAAATATGTGATTAGAGGTGATAAGTTAGAGGCTAAAATATATGATTCAGAAGAGACTAATCTAAAATGATTAAGCTGGCGTTCATTCTTAACATTAACTAATCATGCGAAAAGTCAGTCCATTTAGTGAGTTCTTTAGTTTCCAGTAGATATCTTTTCTCTTGTTATATATATATATCACCTTCAGTACTTTCCGAAAATTTGAAATTAATTACTATAAACATTTATCAATTTGCAGATATATTCAACATATAATTATCTGCAACAACTTCAAAAAGATAATCATTCTGCTGAAGAAGCGTGGAACTGTGCTTCGGTTGAACTATGTAAAGCAAGTCGCGTGAGTCCTTTCTACATTTGTCATTTTATCATTTAATTAACATTTTTGTTGATTTAATTGGATAAGAAATACCAAAAAAATTTTTTGAAAATTTCATGAAAAGATTCGAAAATTTCTCATAAATCTGCAAATTTTTGCTTTCTTTTTTTTGTTTTTTTGTTTTTTCAAATTTTTTTTCATTACATTACTTTTCACATTTTTATTCAATTGATGACATTATAAATTACAAAGTCATTTGTTCTTGATTTTCAGTTACACATTCTTTGTTTTATGGCAAAAAGTTATTTATCACGAATATCACAGTGTAGTGAACCAGAAATTTCACGAATATTAAATCTGATTGGCAAACTTTATATGCTTCATGAGATTTCTGCTCATTGTTACGCTTTTAGAATGGTAAATCATAAAATATAAATGTTATGGATTGGTTTCACCCATTGATACAACATTTTATATGCAATTAAAATATTATTTTTCATTCTTACAATCACCATAAAATTATATATTTCTAAAGTAACGATGAATAAAAGTGAAATTATGAGTAAAGATATTATATTTAAATGTAATCTTAGCTACTCTATAAATATTTTTAAGGCGAATTATATGTCAGATGAACAAATGAGAAGTGTAAAATGTGGTATCTATGAAATATTGGGGAATTTACGTCCAGATGCTGTAGCTATAGTAGATTCATTTGATTTTTCGGATCGTGAACTTCATTCTGTCCTTGGTCGACGTGACGGTAACGTTTATGCGGCAATGCTTGAGTGGGCAAAATATTCGGAATTGAATAAAACTGAAGTAAGTAATTTAGCAATGCTAATATAACAGTGTTTCATTGCAAAATTATTGCTTCTAAAAAGCAAAGATGTTTAACTGTTTAATGTGCAGAAGGGATTTTTTGTGAAACTGATTTTTTGCTATTAGTAAGTATCCCACTAATTAGGAACTGATTCGGTAGTGTGTGATTTTTAGTATATATATTATATTTGAAAAAGAAAATTTAATAAAGTTTACGGCAAAAGTTTTTTATATCACTTTAACATTTTCAATTTTTTTTTTCTTTTTTGCACTATTTAAATAATTTTAGTTCTTTTTCTGAAAAAAAAAATATCGTTCGGTGTTTTGTTTTACAGGTACTGTCAACATTCAAGAACTATTTGGGACCTATGATGGAGGATGGTCGATCAAAAATTTAAATTTTCCAATTGTTTTTTTTTTTTTCTAATTTTCTTGTATATCTTTAAATATCATATTATGGCCGTTTATTTGTTTAAAAAAATAAATAATAATCTCGTATTATGGCCTTTAATTCTAATCTCACGTTTTGTTTCTATCGTTTTCATCTAATATGATTCACTCATACAATTCACTTTTTTGCTTTTAAAAATTGCATTTTAAAAAGTGAGAAGAATTGTGAATGAGAGTTTAATATAGCAATGGTTGACATGATGTACGTACGATATTTTTTGGTATAATAAAGAATATTTTTCACTATAGCTTCTATGTTATTGCATATCAAAGGTAAAATGTAGGATATCCAAATGTTATTTACTTACAATCAGTTGTTTTTTTTTTCTCTTTTTTTCTTTGCTTTTATCTTAATGTATAAAATAATATAAAATCTATTACTTTTTTTTCATTGAAATTTTCAAATATTTGTCTATAATGTTCATTTGGAAAATAAGTAAGATGTTTATTAATTAATAATGTAATAACTAATATAATTGGTCAATTAATGACATAATAATAACAATATAATTAATAACATAATAAGTAATGATTTAATAATATAATAAACTAATATACAATAATTAATAATATAATATAATTAATATAATAATTGGTGTACAATATAATTAATATAATAAAATATAATTAATAATACAATAAGCAAGATGTTAATAAAAAATGCAGCACTGAGTGAACAGTGTTCATTACAAGTTCCAAATTTTCTTTGAATAATGTTTTGGGCAATTAATGTAAAAGAAAAAAATTGATAGTTATTATTATTAATGTAAATTTAATAAAACAAGAGGAAAAATTTTTATTTCACAAAAATATAGAGTGTCATAAAATAGCTATTTACATGGTGTAAAAAAGATTTGCTAATTTATTGTTGATATTACTTTTGTATTTTTTTTTTTCGAATTCATTAATTCATTGCATAAATAATTTCTTTAGATAATATGGAAAAGTCAAAAGATACAACATTGAGTGATCAGCGTCCATTTGTACTCAAAAAATGGACTGCATTAGCAACATGGTCATGGGATGTGGAATGTGATATCTGTGCAATATGTCGTGTACAACTAATGGGTAAGTTAATTAAATTCAGCCATATAATTTTTTTTTAATAATAATTAGGTGAAACTCTTGTAATTCATTAATAATGAGTGAATTATATATATATAAGCTAGTTTTTTCACTGAAATTTTCTTATAATTTCTATATCCTATAAAAATTTTTTTATAAATTTTATAATTTAGCTTTTTATTGAAATTTTCAGATATTTGTTTACGGTGTCAGTCAGAAAATAAGCAAGATGATTGTGTGGTAGTATGGGGTGAATGTAATCATTCTTTTCATAATTGCTGTATGGCTTTATGGGTGAAGCAGAATAATCGTTGTCCTCTCTGTCAACAGGTATTACATTTTTTACTAAAATAAAATACGAAATGACTAATTCATATTTTAGTTTATGGTGTTTTCTTAAAAGTTGTCAATTATTTTGAATTCTGATTGAAAAAATTCAATAGATTAAATGTTACATGGAAATTTGTTGTTGATAAAATGAAACAATATTAAGCCATGATTGTTGCTAATGACTGTTAGCTTCAGTGGTAATAATGAATCTGCTTAATTTTCTTGGCTAATATAAATAAGAGAAATAAATAATTGATTATTCACATATTACAAATGTTTCATTGTAATTTTTGCAGGATTGGCAAGTGCAAAGAACGGGTCATTAAATGTGTAGTTTTAAACAGTTTTCAATATTTCAATTTCAATACTAGCAAATTTAATCGATCATTTAAAGTGTTTATTATACATAGCTATATGTAACTGCTGTTGTATGGTCTGTTTTTTTTTTTTTTTCTTAGGGTCATTGTCTTCTTCTTGTTAAATAAAAGAAAGGTTGGAAGATTACATTTTATCTGTCTCTCTCCGCCTCTCTCTCTCCCTTGTATACTTTTTATATATCTATTTTGTTCATTGCTTGAATTACTTTTTCTACTGCTTGAAGCATTTTTCGTCCAATCTTGCAATGATTTGTGTATACAAATTGTGCATTCAAAGGCATATGAATTTTTATATCAATTTTAATTTGAATTTTAAATGCTCTTTGAAATTATTATGAATGAATAATGTCATTTAGTTAAACATATATTTTCATGCAATAAAAAGAAAATTTATAAGCATAATACAGGAGTTTTTTTTTTTTTTTAATCTCTTTACGGAATGTTAATTTTATTATAATCTATTAATAATCGAAAAGCATAACAAGTAACATTTCCTTTCCGATGTTGACAAAAATCTTTTGTCTGAATTATATATGCAAAATTATCATTTCCACAGATTACTCCAAATAATCCACCAAGAAACCATCGTGCTATTCGTTCTATTCGAATTTTAGATTTGTTAATATCATCATCCATTTGCTGCAAGTTATTTTTTCATAAATAAAATTAAACTTTTTACTTGTGAGTTTTTTTCTTTTTAACTCGAATAGATGGGACTTTTTACTCGAAAATTTCATTCTCTTGAAAATTTTTAGAGTTGCTTTATTTGAAACTTAAATATTTTTAACCAAGCTGCATTAATTCTTCCAGAATAAGTCTTAGCTCAAGAATTCTGTATATGTTTTTTCATTTCTTTTTTTAAAAATGTTTTATCTATTAAAAGCTACTTCAGAAGTGCAGTTATTTTAAATATGATTTGTTTTTATTTTGAAATCGTTTTTTATAAAAAATAAAAAAAAAAAAAGATTAACTTCAGCAATTATCTGTCGTAATAATTCATTATTACATATTGGGTCCACTTCCTGAAGTTGATCTGTAGTGAGTGATGTCCTTTGTATATATCGAAAATGGCATGGAATTGAACAGTTTGTGCAGCAGTCATTCTGTAAAAAAAATTTTCCCTCCAATAAAATACAAAAATTTTGTGTTTCTTTAAATTAAATTGAAAAAATTTTTAAATTTAATAAATAACATTTAATATTTATTTCATTAGTTCCAAAAACGGATAAATTAAAAAAGAAGAAAGAAAGAAAAAGAAAAAAGGAATAATTTAATGATACCTCTGGTGGCATTGTAAAATTGTCACTAATACAGTTATTATCATTATCATTTGATGAACAGTTATTTTTTAACAAATATTTAGCGCTTGTTTTTTGAGCGCTTTTTGTTGTATCGTCAATAAGTTTATTATCATTTGCATTATCAGTTGTAATTCGTGATAGTTGTTGTATTGGTAATATACTTGATAAATAAATATCAGATGAATGATTGAATGATAATAAATTAGTTTTTTTTTTTGAATTCGTTGTATTATTTAAAGTTGCCAATGAATACATATGATATGTTTCATTGATATTTTTTCCTTTATTAATATCATTTATTAAATAAGCACCATTATCAGATAATTGATTTTTAGAATTTTCCGAGAAATCATTTAAATAGGAGGCGAATTTAGAAGTACTTGAATTTTTAGTTTTTTTATCATCGTAATATTGAGGTGGTGAAGTTTCTGATGGACCAGGAAAGGAAGATGAAAGTAATGGACGTTTGAGTGGACAAGAATTTATCGTTGGACACAATGGCCAAAAGGATGGACAAAATGTTGGACAACGTGATAAAAGTGGATGTAAAATTGTTGAACGTTGAAATGAACGTAATAATGGACGATGAAGTGATAATTTTGGTGGTGGATAAGGTTGTAAAGATGATAAACAGATGATCAATGGAGATGGCACTATTGGTAAACGATAAAATAGCGCTCGTGAATGATTATGACATAAATGATTTGATTGTGATAATTTGGAAAAATATGCTTCTGTTATTGATAATATCACAAATATTAGCATTGAATAGAATAGAATTAATCGAATTAAGTTTTCATGTAAAATTTCCTGAAATAATAAAATGTTTAATTTTTTTAAGTAATCATTTTAGAAAAAGATCTAGAATTTTTTTTTAATTAAGAAAAAAAATCATTATATTTTGTAATGCTATCAGATAGTTAGTTATAAGTTCAATATATCTGTTCGGTAAAAAAAAGCAACAAAATTTAATTAAGTCTAATTTTTTAGAAATTTAAAAAATTTTAAATGCAAATAAAGATATTATATCATTTTATGCATCAATTACTATTACTTATCTGTTACTCTTGCACATATCTTTTAAATATCATTAAATCAATATTCAAATATTTTCTTCCAATTGGAATTTCTTGTCATTGAAACACTAGCTAATCAATTTTTTTTTCACAAATCTTTTTCTTCTTTATTATCGTTTCAACAGTAATATCATAAATTTTTTTTTTTTTTTTTATCATAAAGTTTGATATACATAAAAAATATCATAAAATTTGATATTTCTAAAAAAAAGTGAAGAAATAAATTAAAAAGGTTTAAACAAATGATAGAACTAAAAAATTTTGACATTTATTATTTAGAAAGAATAAATATGAGTAGTAGCAATTACATCAAAATATTATATTTTTCATCTATTTAATAGTCTTTTTAGGACAGTAATGCATTCATGAGAAGTGCTAATTGTGTGTCACGAAATACTTCTCCTAATACTATTTACTATTCAAATGTGCTGCCTTTTGGATTTTATAAATTCTACACTCAACAACTCATGAATTTTAATCATACAATTGTCATAAAATAGTTTTTATGGCTAATGATAGAATAGACATAAAATAAAACAGCTATTATTTTTCATCTTTTTTTTGAGATTAGCGGTTATTTTTCGTTTTTAAAAAAAGATCAGCGATTATTTTTCGTTTTTTAAAATAATTTTCAATGCAAATTTTATTTAGAGAGAAAAAAAAGTTCAATAACATTATTGTTATCTTAAATTTATTTATTACTGCATTTCGATATGCTTACACAAATAAGTAATATGTTGATAATTTCAATGTTAATATAATATTCATAATATTAATTTTTTTTTTTAAATTAAATTATTTTCTCATTTTTATTTCTTTTCGTTTTTTGCTACCAAGGAAATAATAATTGAATTTTAATTTAGGTACTTCTAGTAATTTGTATTGCTTTTTTTTCAGCCTTTTTTGTTTATTCTTTTTTTTTGTAATAAAACGTTTAAATTTTCAGATAATGAAAAAAGTTCTTTAGCTCTGCTTATTTCAATTACTTTTTTTTTCTTGAAAATTACTAAATAAATTAAAATAAACAAAATTTTAGCCAATTGCATTCTTCAAATGATAAAATACATTCCATAAAAATTTACACAGCAATAAAATTAAGTTGCAGAACATAAATGAGAGTAAATGATGTAAATTTCAATGAAAAATAATTGACAGATAGTGAGTGAATCATTAAAATATTCATAATAGATTATTAAAGAGAAAAAGCTGATTTTTCTTTTCTTACTAATAAAACTTCAAAAAAAAGATTAAATTTAAAAAAAAAAATGTTTTTTCCATTTTCCTATAATGAACAATATTTTAATTTAAAATTAATTCTTCCATAAACTATCATGCGCTTCTTTTTTATATGCTTTTTTTTTCTTCTTATCATACATTTAAAATCTATCCATTTTAAATTGCAAATTAAATTACAATGAATAAAATAGCTTAAAGAAATATAATAAGACAATAATAAATTCTTCAAATTTAAGCATTACTGATGTTATATTTAAAATTTTTTATCATTTCGTTTATAACAATCATAAAAATACTGTAGAATTCACAGTAATTAAAGAATTTTACGAATAATTTTATATTTATGAAGCATTATTTCAGTTGAATTTAATGGAAATTGATTACAGCTAACATTTTTTATAATATATTTGCAGTTATGAAATTGTCGATATTCACAAATGATAAATGTAATTCGTTTCATAGCACATTGACATTGTTGATTGAAATCACTTTTCGTTTGATATGTGATTGTTTGTGACGCTGTCAATAATTTTGATGATATTGTTGACTGAGCTAAAATGAATAATAAATTAAATAAAAATTAATAAATTTAGCTAAAGTAATTAAAAAGTGCCGGGGATTTTGCCAATGCTGTTGATTGAGCTAAAATAAATAAAATACAAATTTTCTTTTTTTGTGTGTAATATTTTGTAGCATTTTTTTAAGCAGCATAATTCACTTATGTATAATATAATATGTCTGAAATAAAAAGTAACTTAAAAGTATGAAATTTAGCAAAATTAATTGGGATTACATTGCACAGATTTGAAAATTTTTTCAATTCTAAATATAAATTAATTTATTACAGCGTTATTAGTTAATTATTGCATGATATGAAATAATTTCCAATTAAGGGGTGCTTTTCTGTTACAATTATAGATTTATTATAGAGTAATTCAAATTAAAAAAAAGTGAATAAATACTACAAAAGATTTAAAAACAAGAAAGAGAGAGAGTAAAAAAAAAAAAAAAAAAAACGTGCCATTAATAAATCGCAGAAGGAAATGTGATGTTCTGGAAGCATGTGAAATGACAATTAGCATTTCACCTTCGGAAATAAATTCACCTGTAACCGGTATACAACAGGAACGAAACCCAGAAATTTGCAAATCTATTTTATGTTTCACTTCAACATATTCCTCGCAAACAGGATCACATTTGTAATGTGCTTCTGTCAGCTCAAAACGAATACGACCATTTGGCTAAAAATTTAGATTTTCAAGTAGAAAATGTAAAATTTATCAATTTTTTATTTTTAGAACATTATTTATGATAAGTGAATTTATCTTTTTTAAAATTACCATCGCACTATGTTGCAGTTGATTTTTTTTCAAAAATTTGACAAGCAAATTAATTTTGCGATTATCTTAAAGACATAATAGATTTAGTATTTCGAATATATTTTTAAATAAAAATAAAAAAAATTGTGAATACAAAAGTCAGTGAGCACTTCTATGATACAAATATTTTTTGATCCTTTATAAATATATGTATTTATAAATTACTGAAAATTAGTCGTTGATTTCCTCATTTAGTTTATTAATTATCTTAAAACACTTAAAATTAAAAAGAATTAGGAATGAAAAAAAAATAATTTAACAAATTCCAGCATACCATTCAAATACAAACTGTTTAGTGTTCATTCCGGTTGATGAAAAAAAAACTACATACCGACAGAATTTCAGATTAAATTTCTTAAAAAAGGGCTTACAAACAATTATTAAATTATTTATTTCATTCTCTCTATTAATTATTCATTGGAAATTCACCGAGTAAATTCTCCAATAGCAGTTCGATGAACCATTATATTCTAATGTTTGCCATTCGTCACTTACCAATTGTTCATAACCACATGCTTAAATATTTTAATCTTTTATCATTATTCAAATTTTATAAACATTCAAAAATTTTCCTTTAATTTGTTAAATATTTATAAAATCTTTTAAATTTCTATTAGGAAATAGGAATTTTGTAAATTTTTTTAAAGTTGAATTTTTTCTTAGAAAGTTTTATTTTTCAAGAAATTCTAAGGCTTTTATTAATAAATTAATGAATTAATATGAAGTAATGGAAATAATTACTTAATTTAATGAAATACTCTTACAAACTTAGTTTTTTTCTTTGTTTCATAAGCAATATATGACTAAGAAATTTTGAAATTCATTTAAATACCCTTAATACTTTTTTCAATTTTTTAAACAAATATTTTTGCTTTTTTTTATGAAATGTTTTAAAAGAAATTTTTACTTAATTACAGAAAAAAAGAAAAAAAATTTACTCACAAGATTTTTGTAAATCAGAGCATTGATGACCACCAAGACCTTCTGGACATTTGCATATACTGCAATTATTTGGATCCGGATAGCCACCATGATGACATTTTAAATTTGTCATTTGGCATCTATCTGATTTAGATTATTTCAACATTTTCTTTGTTCTATTTTATTTTAAAATAATGATTTAATTTAACTTTTACTGAGCAAAATATATGATTCATTAATTTTTTAAGAAAAAATTGCAAAAAAAGAAAACAGTTTAAATAAATTTAAAAATTCATTGCTTATTTGCAAATTAAAACCACTTTAATAATTAATTCATTTCTAACATTTGTTTTTTTGTGAGTTAGCAAATTATGGCATATTATATTTGTGAAATTAATTAGTAACAAAATTAGGAAAGCAAATAATATTATTATTGGTAATTAGTAGAAATTTTTTAATAGTAACTTAATATTTTTTTAATAACTAAATGTTTAATAATAACCAAATCTTTTTTCTTAATAATAACTTTTAATAAAAATGCCTACCAAAACAATAAAGTAAATTAATTTGTTTAAAATCAGTAAATGCTGGTGCAACACGATTGCCAACTGTTGAACGATATTTTGTATCGATTGGATCAACCGTAAAATCAATAAATTTCTTTGCAAATGTCTAAATTTTAAATATATAAATATAATTTAGATGATTAAATTTTTATTTTTTGTACTTGTTTAAAATTTTTCTAGAAAGATTTTAAATTGATAGAAATTTAATAGTTTTAATTTAAAAATGTTTTATTGATCGAATTATTTTAAAAAGAATAAAAAAAAACAATTTTTTGTGCATCAAAAATTTTAAAGCACAATAAATAAAGTGAAAAATTATTGAAATATTTATTAATCAGTTCTTCAAATCAAGAAATTTAACATTTAAATAATTAATCAATCTTTTCTTTCTCCTAAACAAAACAATAAAATTTTTGATTTATTTATTGAATATAGTTAAATAAATGCTTAAATTTGTAAAAATTTAAACATTTATTTAAGCTATAATTTATTTTAAATCTGAATTTCAAAACCTAAATAATTTTATTGTATTTTTGTAACAATATGCAAAAATACACAAAAACTTAATGAATGTAAAAGTTTCATATTTTTTTCTCTAAAAAATTGAATTTTCAATTTCACTACTACTAATAATAATTGAGCTAAAAATTATTTCAATTTGCATATTAAAATAATGAATAAAACAAATTATACATTAGTGGAATAATGCATCACTGATCCAAGATCATACGGAACGCCTAAATCGATAATTTGTGTTACATTACGCTTTTCAAAATTTCCCTCACTTCCACTGATAACATTTTGTAAATTGATACGAACATAGTTATCACGGTCTGACCTCTCTTGCTCATGCCAAAATCCTAGCGCATGCCCAAGTTCATGTGAAATAATTCCAAGCTTCAAAAAAGAAAAGAAAGAAATTTTATTAAAATTTTACTCAATAATTAAAAGTAGAAATTTTATTGAAATCTTGTTCAATAAATAAAGAAGAAATTTTACTGTTAATTTCTGCTCAATAATTAAAAGTGAAATTCGATTAAAATTTTGTTGAACAATTATTTTAAAGAAAAACGAAAAAATAAAGGAAAAAGAAAAAATTATTTTTAAAAAGTTAGAAATATATTTTGAAAGATTAACAGTTTCACAACCATAACCAATGGATATTGTTTGACTGCCGCCTAATCTTCCAACATTGGAATAACAGCTGGAATATGAGAGCACGAAATAATTAAAATTTTTAAATTGAAGTAAATAATTTTCTTTCCAATTTTATCATTTGTTTTTTAAATGAAAAAAAATTAATCTTTTTTTTTTGCAAATTAAAATAAAACTTTTTTAATGATAATGTGATGAAACTTATTGCATATTTATTAGACAAATAATATCAAAAATTTTTGCTCATTAAGAATCAATTTAAAAAGATTGGTAGTAGTACCACAGAACAAATTAATCCTGTCTAATTTGCTTAATGATTAAGTTAAAATTTTTAAATTGTTTACTTTAGCTTAATTAATACAGAATTAATAAATTTCGAATGATAAATTTTTTGCTTTTATCATTATATTATTTATCTGTAATAGTGCATGCTATAAGTAATTGTTTTATACTCAATTGTTAAACATAATTAATCTTTTGTGCGCTTGATAAATTAATCTAAAAATAAGACATAATAATTATTCAAGAATTTTTGAAATTCGAAAAAAAATTAACTTACCCGCTTCCAATGATAAAAATTAAATAATCATCATCAGGTTTATTTTCCACAAAACGTAAGCATGTTTCTTGCTCCCAATAATGAAGTGTTTTACGAATGTAATCTTGCCAGTTTGCTAAAATTTTAAAAAAAGGGAAAAAAAATTAACAGATAGTTGACAATCGATTTGCATGTTTAACACTAATTATTATTAATTAAAAAATGAAAAAACAGAGAACTACACTTTAAAAAGTTGATAATAACTTTTTTTTAATGTTTTATTGATAATAATTTGCTAGATAAATTAGGATATAATAAGATGGCAAATTATCATTATACTTTATTAGTAGTAAAGAATGGCAAACTATCATTATACCTTCCTACTGATAAAGAATAGCGAACTACTATTATATCTTCTTAGCCTATTATATATATATACCTATTATATCCCATCATTATCACCGAATTATACTTTACTAGTGATAAAGAATAACGAACCGTTATTAGTAATAAAGAATACCGGACTGTCATTATACTTTGTTATTGATAACGAATAACGAATTGTCATTATACTTTGTGGCTTACTTACTTACTGATTTATTTACTGTTATACTTTATTACTGATAGTTCATAACAAACTATCAATATATTTTATTAATAACAAATTGTTAGATAAATTAGGACGTGGTAAAATAAACGAACTATCGCTATCACCGAAACGATATGCAATTAATGAACTTTTCCAGTGATAACTTGGATCAGCGATTATTTTTCGTTTTTTACGATATTGCTTCATTGATGTTAACAATTTCATTTGTGACAAAATTAAGGCAATATCATTCTCGAAAAGAAGACCAGCAATTCGTACATTTGGTCGTATCTCATTACGCATATATGGATTAACTGATGGACGTATCAAAGTACCATCCTAAATTATCACACATCTATCTTATCAAGAATTCCTAACAAATTTCGTAAACCATTAATTTGAACTTTATTTATTTGTTTAAAATCTTTTCTTAAATTAGAAAATAAGACCTGAAAATGATCATTAATTTACATCTACAAAAGTTACAAAATTAATAATGTTTAAATTGATTGTAATAACTTACATTGACTGCATCCTTCTACAAAATTCCTTTAATTATTTAATTTCTTTCACAAAACTTCTTACAGTTAATTGTATTTATAATGTTTGCATTTGTCGCAGTGAATTATTTTTTTACTGTTTTTTTTTTTTTTTTATTTTACAACTAATTCATAACAAATTTTGTAAAATATTTGTTCGTAAATCATTTATAATCCATAAAATAATTGATTTTTTAAAGTTTGCTAACTGAAAAATTAAAAGTTCTGTTTAGTTTTTCTTTCAATTTTGCATAACTTATGTATAACTAATTAAAATAAATTTTAAAAAATGAGGACACTAACGTAAGGCCGATGTTTCGGATCCTTTTGAATGAAGTATTGTTGCATTAGGGATAAAACTTTATCATAACTTTCACTTGGATTATTGTAACGTGTCGTATGCTGTGTCACTTCAGCAATAAACTCAAATTTAAATCATATTAAAATGATGAGTTATTATAAATTAAAATTAGAATTTTTTTTTGTAATAAATATTAATATACAATAATAGACAAATATAACAGATTAGAATGTTCAGTGTATATTCTAAATGTGATATTTTAGTTCATTCAAAAAAAATTTTCGAATAACTAATCTTAAAAGATAGAAATTATTGAATTTTAAATAACTTTTATTCAATAATATTTTAGCTTCATTTACTGTGAATAAATTTACAATTTAATAAGAAAGGAAAAAAAATTATTTTTGCTAAACATTATCTAAGAAAATGATTGATTAAAATTTAATTGTATTGAATTTACTGAATTGATTTTATTCGATTTAAGTGTTTGTCAATGCAATTGATTATACCTTTTTTACTGTTGGTTTTTCAATATAGGAATCTTGTTGCAATGGCAGGTGTGTTGTTAGGTGAAATATAGATAATACAGGCAATTGATGTGTTTTAATCTATAAAATAACTTATTAAAAAATTAAAAAGTGAAATTAAAAATTAATTTTATAAAATTATAAAGTAACACAAGAAGAAAGTTGAAAAATTAGCAAACATTTTGAATTGATGTTGTATGACAGCAATTTGATGGCTTTTTTTCGGATAATGTTGTTGATTTTGATGTTGTAAGGTAGGGATTATTCCATGCTATAAAGAAAAAATATTTTAATTTTTAATTTAAATGAAGTGTGATAAATTTGTAATTTGAGATTTTCCTTAAATTATAAAATATAAGTAAAAAGAGAAAGAGAGAGATAGGGAAAGAAGAATGCTACTAAACAGTTTTTGTTGTTACTGATATACCGTATACAAATCCTCTAAATTTTGCCGCTTAGTCAGTCTTTTCAATTGTAATAAAATAAAAATTTCAAAATTGCTTGACCTCCAATAAATGGTTGTGTTTTAACATTATTAGCAACAATCATAACAACAATAAAAAGCCATTGCTGGTTGTTATTCATATCACTTGAAAAATTTGGATTGTATTGCTAAAAAAGAAACAGCTCGTTTCAAATTGATATAATTTTCTAAAAAAAATGAATTATTTCAGCTTATATTATTTTAAGAAATGACAAAATATCATTCATGCAATTTCTTTTTTCCTTTTGCTTTAATAAATAAAAAACTAAAATCAAATTAAAAACTATAGAATTAAAATTAAATTATATTTTTTTCGGACTCATCTTACATTTTTTCTTTTTCTCAGGTAAATAATATATTCTAATATTGTCAGCATAGAAACTGTAAATTGTATTGAAATAATTTAATATTTAAATCGAGGAAGTATTAATTAAAAAAGGAATAGTCTATTTCTTGAATATTTCACAAAATATGTCACTGCAAAAATATAATGATGAAAAGAAAAAAAACACAATTGATGAATTGAAACGATATTATTGGGCAAAAACTAATTGTAAATTTTGATCAAGAATGTTTAAAAAATGATGAAAAAATGCAAACTTTTCGACAGATCAAAATGTTAAAAGTAAAATGCATTTAAATTGGGTAACACATTAATAGAACGGATTTGAAAAAAAAAATTTCATATTTCTGTGATGCAAAACTTCACTTTCATAAATTAATTACAGTTGAATTTTGAAATTTAATGATATTTATTATTATTAGCATTGTTATTATTTGAAAGGAAAAAAGAAAATGAACACTTCTATGCAATATTGAAAATATTATTGTAATTATTATTACCACAATTGCAGAAAATACAGTTTAGAAAAGAAAACAGAAGTAAACAAAATAGGTAAAATAATTTAGGATTTTGTTTGAGATAGCAAAGGAATTTTGCAATTATTGTGCAACAAAGTATAAGTAACAATTTTCAGCTTCAGTAAGCAAAATACATTCAAAGATTTCTAAAAGAAAAAAATTTATAGAACTAGTCCAGTCCAGTTTGTCAGGAATGCTATCAGTATGAAAACGGAAGTATGTAATACATCCAAGGATTCACATGCACGAATTTCTTTTCTTGTTCTTCATTTTCACAAATAATAGGATATAAATTAAAAAAATTTTTTTTCAAAAAGAAAAAATGAATTTTAATTTGAAGAATTGTTAAAGAGAGTACTTCTGAAAACTTGTTTCATTGAAAAAAAAACCTTTAAAAAAGTTTTTTTCCTCAACTTATCACTTAATATTTATAATTTGAGCAAAACAATACTTTCAAAAGATATTAAATGAAAAGTAATACTATTTGCTCAAATTTTTTTATTATGGAAACAGTTTTAACTCTTTTTTTGTTAAAAAAAAACTTTCAGACAACATTTTGTTAAGTGAAAATTTAGGCATTTGGATAATTTGCTTAATCCAATAAAAAGACTATTTCAATTTTTTTTTTTCTGCTACTAAAATTGTATTCTTTTCTCGACATAACCAACAAATTACATCTTTTTTCTTGAACAATAATGACAAAAAAAAGAACCTAACAATATTAATTTCTAAAGTTCATTAATTAATTAATTAAACAGCTCCTATTTAATTAGAAATCGATGTTATATATTTTTTATAATAAATATTTATCATGCTTCTACATTTTAATAAAAATCCTTCAATAATATTAATTGTATTTACCGCTATTTTTTATTGCAATATAAATAATATAACATAGAACATATCGAAAAAAAAATTAAAAATAAAATTGAAGTATTTTTTTAGTCAGAATTTCAAAATTATTAATTGTAATATTTCAAATTTATCTTTTTTCTTTTTTTGAATCCAAAGTAGCAGTTTCATTTTTTCAGTTACACATATTCATAGTGAAATAAAGCGAAGCAATGGAAAACATTAACATGAATGATATCAGAATGCAGCTTATGATTTTAGTTCAAATTTTAGAGTAGTTTTTTAAATTTATATTTGTAATTTATCTAGTTTATACCGGAACATTCTTTTGAATGTATTATTAAAACATGCCTTCAAGATATTGATGACCTAGAAAAGTCAGATAAAAGATATTTTAATTGTTTTATAGATAATAATAATATATGCCGTAATCATTAGTAATTTCAATAAAAATCGATTTAATGGAATCATCGAATAAAATATATGAAACAAAAGAGCAGCTAAGTCTGATTTCGATAGAACTTTAAAACTTGCTTTGTTAAGTTAAGAAATTAAATTGAGTATTAGAGCTTTACACTTTTATTAGTTATCTTTTTAGTTCATTCATTTCAATTCTTTTCAATTAATTTTTTGTGCGCTGATTATCAACCATCTTATCAGCCTAAAAATTAATTAAAACTTTCTTAATTCTATAAAAGTAACGAAAAATTTTTTCCTCTGACTAAATTACATTTTAAAAAAAAGAAAAAGAGAAGAAATATTTGTTTCATATTATATTACTGATATATATGATGATTTATTATTAAAATATCTAATCAAAACATTGAAATGCAATGTGATTGAAAATAAAAATTAATAAGCTCTGAAATGTTTAAAGCTGTTTGAATAATTTCATCAATTTCCACTTTAAATAAATAAAAATAAAAATTTAATATAACTGCCAAGTTGCTGAGAGTATTGATGAATAGAAATTTGTGTATACTAAATGAACTTGATTGTATCATTTGCTATTTTCAGATTGAATTGAATTTGACAAATATAAGAAAAAAGAAAAAAAAAACTATATGTAAATTTCTTTCTCGCTTCATTTCATTTTTCTATTTCATTCCATTTTTTTTTTTAAAAAAAGTGTCAACCAATCGTAGATGATATAAAGCAGTTCACATATGCATTATGATAATATTTGAAAAAAAAAATAAACAATATTACATGAAGTTCAAATTTTATTCCATCTTTAAAAAAAGAAGAAATCAACCAATTATAAATGATCCAAAGCAATTTGCATAGCACTAAGATAATATTTGAAATGAAATTTTAAATAATAATATTTGAAATTCATTCATTCATTATTTCCCATCAGCTATCTGTGATCAGTTCTTTTTTCTTTTTTTTTCCTTTTTTTTTTTGATTGAATATACTAAAGGTTTGCTTCAATTGCTAATTATTGGTTATGTTATCTAGGAGATCACTCGCTTATCGAATTTACCGGATGCTGGAAGTTATGCCAGATCACAACAGTCAGTTCGGGTTTCTTCTTCTACACTTTGTTTTTACGTCTTTTCTTCTTTGAAATTTTGACATGATTACTTAATTATCTGAAAGGTAAATTTTATATTTTTGATAATTTTGAAATGGCGAAACTATTAGAATAGCTTAAATAGCAAGAATTTCACTTCTGAAATTCTAGAATATTAGAATCAAAATAAAAAGCTATTTTACAAAATACTAGAATAGCGAAATTACTGCTTTAGAAAAGGAAAAGTATAGCGATTAAGAAGTTTTAGTTTAAGAACTTTATCAATTTTCATCAAATGAACTTCATCAAATACTTTAATGAATAATTGGTCTAGATATTTAAAAGGAAAAATTTAATTCATTACATTCGACTATTTTATTATCTTCATTTATTCATTCATTTTTTTAGCTCGAAAAGAAAGAAAAATAATTGAACAACATGATGAAAAAGAAAAAAAGAAAGAATTGAATGTATTCATGTATCAATCATAAATTTTGATTTTTCTTATGAAAATTTTTAAAATGTATTTCTTTCTGATTATTAAAAAAAAAAATATTTTCAAAAAAAAAAAGAGGATGTATTTTATGTTCATAAATAAACAAACTGTTATGAAATAAATTTAATAATATTTGCACTAAGAAAAAAAAAACACCTGCAATTAATGCAATGAAATAAAATATGATTGTTCAGCCAGTTATATTTGTTTTCTGATGAGATAACATTTAAACATCTAAATGAAACTTATTATGTAATTAATTATGCAAATTACGCTTTGGCTTATTTCTTTTTTTCTCTCTTCAAATTTTT